CTAAAGTAGGTTTACATTCCTTTGTTTCCATTCTGTCTTTTATAAGTATTTGACTTTGAAACCTCTTGCCTTAAAGACTGTGCCCTTTGGCTAAGTTGAATAAACAAACTGACTTTGGGTAAAGAGAATCAAAAATTGATGTAGTAAAATCTTGAGGCCTAGGGCTGTTTTTTTAATCTAAAATTTCCTTTCATGTTACTTAAATGAATATTCATTGAGCAAGTATAGTATAAGGAAGAAAATTTTGTACTAATTCTCTAAAAATCAAAATACATACACAGTACTCTTGGTGCTCCCTGATTTTGAGTAAATGACACCTATTGGATAGACCAGTGTCTTCATCTGAAAGTATGGTTAATGCTGAGTCCTCACAAGCATGCCTCTACCATTCAATGCAAATAGCTTAGTATAATGTAATCATTAAGAGATAAAATTGTGGAACCAGACATAGTGGGGTTCATGACACTACTCAAATAGAATGGGGTTCATAACACCACTCAGGAAGATGATCTTGGGCAAGTTGTATTGTTTTATATTCTATCTTATTTAGTTAATTTATTTATTTATTGGTATTTAATTCTGGGCACTAACCACTGAGCTACATCCTCAGTCCATTTTATTATTAAGTTGCTTAGGGCCTCCCTAAGTTGCTGAGGCTGGCTTTGAACTTGGGATCCTCAGTCTCCCAAGTCACTGGGATTACAATCATGCACCATAGTGTCTGGCTTAGGCAAGTTTTTAAATTTATACACATTTCATTTCCTATTTGTTAGACTATAATGTTCCCTGGCCTTGATATGTTATTAAGTGGGATGATTCATCTTAGGAACTTAGACATATGTTCAGAGATGCAATACACTTTCCAATAATAATTGTTAGCAACAATTGTAGCAGTATAAATGGTTTAAGTTCTGAAGAGGTTCTATGAAGTAATAAGCAAGAATTACTGAGAGATAAGAGGCCTTCTGAAGCCATTTGCTTTACAGAAGCAACGCTTTCTGCAGTAAGTATAATGACCATTAGAAGACAAGTAATATTCCAGAAAACATTTCCTCTGATCCCTGACTGCCAGAGCTAAAGGAGTCGTGCTTATTTTATAATCAAGAGGGGAAGACCAGGGAGCACTGCAGCTTTTGTGGTTTGTTTATAACTAACTCTTTGGAGTAAAGGACAGAAGACATTGATCATACCTTTAAAGAGATACTATTCCAACAAAAATACTCACATAATATTTAAAATCATGAGCTTTTGAATCTTATTACTTGAATTTATGTTCTAGTTCTACCCTTATCAATTGCATAACCTTGGAAACATTATTTTTAAGTTTTCTGTGCCTCAGTTTCCACATGTAAAACAGAAGAAATAATGAAACCTCTGAAAAGGTTATTGTGTGGAATAAAGTAGTTAAAAATAGAAAATAATTAAAACAGTGGGTAAAACATTGAAAATGTTTAGTAATTTTGTATTCATATTATTATTATTCTATGCTTAAGATGAATCTGATTAGAGTTAACATACTGGTATCAGGCAGAAAACTGAAATACAAATTAATGCACATGAGAATTAAATTTCTTAATTTGTCTTCTACACTTAATTGTTGCTTTGTTATTTATTATCTACTTTCCTCAAGCAAAGCAGCCAGGAAAATATAGCTAGAATTATTCTGGAATACACAATAAGGACTTAAATTTAATTTCAACTCAAGAAGCCCCTTTTAATCAATACAAACTTTTTGCCAATAAAATGAGCTTCCCAGAAGGCTGGCAAATCATTACATAGAAGCATTTATAGGAGAATAAAATGTGTAAGGATAACATTGCTCTTAAACTCTCACAACCCTAAGATTCTATATCAAGATTTTCTGACAACATTGACAAAAATGATCAGAAAATGTATTGCTAGACAGTTTTAAATGTATTAGAAAAATATATGAATTGCTTCTCCAAAGGATCCTATAGCCAGAGCACAAAGTAGAAAAACTGCACATTCATCAATAATATCTCCAATAAATACAAGCTATTCAACATCTACGCTTTCTGAATCATTTTAAAAACCTGTGTATAAAGGAGCATAAATAATTAATGAGGTGTTGGATGAAATCCCAAAGAGGTAGCAAACTATAAAGCACTGCAAATAAATTGAGTTAGAGAAGACACCAAAAGAATATTTCCTGTACATTCTTTTTAAGGAGTAAGCACATGGGATTGATGATAAGGTGTGAGGGGACCAAAACATCATGAGCCCAAGAACTCCCTAAATGACCAACTGAAGCCTCCTTCTAGAGCTGAGCATTCTACTACTGGACGAGAGTAGAATCCAAATTAACCACAACATGCGTGATAGGAACACAGGCAGAAAAAGACCCAGATGAAATTACAGGAGGAAAACAGAGGATGATCTTGGAAAGTATAAGATTTTGTGTGTGCATATATGTGTGTGTATCTCTGCATCTGGATATCCTTGTATGTGTGTCTGACTATTGCAAGAACAGTAGAAAAGAGACCTTTAGATTAATAATGTTAAAAAAGAAATCCTGATCTATCCTTCCCTTATAAAGCTTTAGGAAAATTATTTTATATAAAATTACTTAGGTTTTTATTATGATGATCAAAATACCCAACAAGAACAATGTAGGGAAGGAAAAGTTTATTTTGGCTCAGTCCATGGTCAGTCCATGGCCATCCAACTGTATAGTTCTGGACCCAAGGGGAGGCAGAACAACATGGCAGAAGTGCATGGAATAGGAACTTTGTTCGATTCATGACAGCCAAAAAGCAGAGAGAGGGGAAGGGATGAGAGGAAAAATGATCCTTTCAAGCCATGCCCCAGTGACCCACCTCTAGCCATGCTTCACCTGCCTATAACTACTACCTAGTTAGTGCATTTAAACTAGGATGGACTAGTTAGGTCACAGCTCTCATAATATAGTCTTTTCACTTCTGAATAGTCCTGCATTGACAGGAGCTTTTGGGAGATACCTTATATTCAAACCATAACATTCTGCCCTGTCCCCCAAAAGCTCATGTCCATCTTGCAATGCAAAATGCATTAGTTTATCTCCAAGAGTACTGATGGTCTCAACAGTTCCAGAATTGGAAAATGCAAATCTGAAATCTCATCTGAGACTCAAAACAAACTCTTGGCTGTGAGTCCCATAAAATTGAAAAGCAAGTTCCATACATCCAATATATAATGACATAAAGTAAGTATTTTTCATTCCAAGATGAAGGAGTATGGTCACATAAAGAAGGAATGAGGCCAAAACAAGACCAAAACCCAACTAGTCAAATATTAGAAAAGAACAAAAGAAAACAGAAGCAATTAATAAAAGCAGAATTTAGTTATAAAATGGAGAAGGGACAGAAATAAATGAGTCTAAAAGCTGACTTTTACAAAGCAAAATAAACATTATCAAGCTACTTGTTACCATAAATCAGACAAAAGGAAAACACACAAATATATAAAATTAGAAATGACAATGAGGAAATATTCTTTAAAGCAAAAGAAAGTTAGTTACCTGAGACTATTTTGCACAATTCTATGAAATGAAATTTGAAAATCTCCATGAAATTGGTAACTCTTATATTTTAACTTTAGTAAATAGGGAATGTCTAAGAGAAACAGACATCCATGGAAGAAACAGACAATATTGGTAGAGAATTCACCCAGAAAGCATCATGCTTAGTCTACCGCACAGGTTCAATGCCAAATCAAAGAGGCTCTCCTGGGCTAAATATGGAACCATTTGAAAATCAACAGATAAAATAACCACTGAGGACTGAGACATATCGACAATATTGAAATCTGTCATGATACTAGAATCAAACAAACAAATCCTAACTGGGCATCATTGGAGGATGCTAAAAAGCCAATGCATTATTATGCATTATAATAATGCATTATTATTATAAACTGGGAAACTGATAGGAAGAATCAAACAATTACCCTGACTTTCATATATGAAGCATATTTCTTGATACACAAATAGATGGGGAAGGCAAATTTCTCCTAATGTCAGTATAATTGCTAAGAAATGAACATCATTCTGAAATTTGTAATATATTACAATGGATTGATTTAAGTACCATAAAAGTCTTCTAGTACCACCCAAGAAAATGGGGAACCAGATCTTATATGCTTCCTGTTATAAGAATGTAAAATCACTGATACACAGTTTTTCCAAAATAAAATCATCAATCCTTCAACAGATCAAGCTTTTAGATCCAAATAGTTTGCAAGTAGCCCTGAAATACAAACCACAAAACCAGATTTCAGGATCCTCTGCAGGAAAAATGATCTGATTTCTTTATTAAAAAAGTGGAAGGAAGAAAGAAAGTGCAATGAATAGAAAAGAACTTGGATGGAACTTACTTGTATTCTCACAAAAATTATAAAAAAAATTACAGAATAATTGGAAGTTGGAAGACTGGATATGTGCCAACATTGAAGAATGACTGTTAAATTCTGATTTAGTGGTGATCATGATATGATAACTTCTCTTAAAACAAAAGACCTTTTCTGAGATAAATACTAAAATATTTACAGATGAAATTATATGATGTCTGGGATTTGCTTTAAATAAGTAAGAAGTAAGAGAAAAAAGTAAAACAAGGTTGGCCACGAGTTGGTAATTATTAAAGCTGGCTGAGGGAGATGTGGGAGTTCATTATACTATTCTATTTTGGTATATAGTTGAAACTTTTCATAATACAAAATTGATAAAAAAAAAATAAAAAAAGAAAAAGAAAACAAAAACCCTGATAGGTATCTCGGGACTGTTGTTAGCTGAATCAGGAGGCAGCGCTCTGCTCTCTGTTTTAACATGTTGGGGGTCACCCCAGCTTTCATGACAAGAAGTGCACTCACAGGGGCAAGGCTTTCTCTTTCTTTGCTCCTTTGATTCTTTCTGCGTTTCCAGACATTCATTCAGCTTGTAGTCATAGAGCTGCTGATGTTGTAAAAATGTTGCTTAGCAACATGTTAATGGGGAGAAACACTCCTGGAAACATTAGGGATTTTGTCTTTTGAAATGTACTAGTTCAGCATATGATACCTCCCACTGCTCAATTTAACAGGAGGAAAAATATCAACTCTCTGAATATAATTGTTTTTTTTTTCCTTTCCATATTCTAAGCTAGGTCTGAATTTAAGTAGAATGTCTAAGAAATGAAGTAGAGTGATCACCCTGAACTTCTTACGGTTCTGTTGGTCTCTATATGTGATTTGGACTGTAGCTCTCTGCCCCTGCAAGTGTCTGGAGTTGGGGTGGGGAGAGCAAGGACCAGAGAGTATGCAAGTATTGTCTAAAGAATGAGCACCAGATTTTGAGGATCTAGAAGTTGGGCCCAGTGGGCCATTCAATAAGCCTCAATTTCTTTTCTAGGAAATGAAGGTATTTGACCAAACACTCTTGAAAAGCATTTCTAGCTTTAATGACTATTTCCCTGTGGAAGATTCCCTAGGCCAATGACTCCAGTTGGGAGGCATTATGTTGCTTTGTTCTTCTTGGACCTCATTAAAAAAAAAAAAATGCAGACTCTTGTTTGGTACACCTGGGGTGGGTGCTCAAGTTTCTGCATTTCTTAACAAGCTCCATTGTGACATTCTGATTCTGCTGGTCAGGAGCGTGGGGCATTTACAGGAAAGCTCTCGGCCAACTTGAATTAGCAGGGACTAGAAAAAGTGACTGGTCAGCCTTGGCACTGCATATAGATAAAAGGAAAACTTGAGATACAAGCCCCAGGTTCTGATTTGGATCAGTCCTGTACCTGTTGCCCAGCCTCAGATGTATCAGGGGACCAGCCTGAGAGTCAGATTCTTCATCTGTGAAATAGAAGCGTGGGCACTTATCGAGAAGAATGGAATTAGACGACGGTATCATGGGAAGGCTCTGAGTCTAGGCCTGGAACTTAATAAGTGATCCATAAATATTAATTGTTGTTGTCATAAAGAAAAAGCAGCAAAGAGCATTTATGAAGGCTTAGGCTGTAATATGAGCCCTTGACTCCTTCCAAGGGTGTCTATTTACTGTTTACTGAATTCCTTCTAGAAGCAGTGTGAACAATTGGGAAAACAAACAAACAAACAACAACAACAACAACAACAACACTGGGCTCCAACTGGTAGGAAGTTCTTATCTCTGGTGCAGATCTGGCAAAGGCACACTGTTTTATTGGGCCTCACTGTACATGCTGGGCCAATGAAAAGCCTGGTCCTGTCCCTCCCTGCTCCAAACATCTTAGAGATGTATTTTGGCTCCCCTGGATGACTCAGTGCTGTGAATGCACCCATGAGCTCTGAAGACTCAGCTCCATTTTAATGAACAGTGAGGGGTGAGGAGCAGTGGGTGGCAGAAAGCTTATCAGAATTGGATGAAAAGTACAGACCTACAAGAATCTGCTAAGCAGGGGATCTATTTTAAAACTCAGTCCTTTTTAGCAACAGAGAGCCAGGGCAATGATTTAATTACTGATGGCCTACATCAGAGGCAAAATGAGAGCCAGCACACAGAAGAAACAGGGCAGAGAGCGGGTTGGCCAGGGTAGGCCTGGGTGGCACCTTCTCCAAAACCTTCCCGCCACCTTTCCTGCTGTTGTATTTTCTTAGGTCTCTAATGTTCAGAGTTTTTGCTTTTAAACAAACAGGTTTAAGGCTCTATGATGTAGTCCATTTTCTAAGCATTTGTCAGCTTCTGTCTGCATCCGATACAAGCGTGTGTGTGACTCACTTCCCATTTCACTCCGCCCCCGGTTCTCTCTCATACACACCCCTGCCCCCGCCACCACTTGACGATCATAAGGGACCTGGATATTTTATGATTATCATACTAAAAGTGTCCTTATATGATGCCACACGTGCTCAGAATTACTGAGGGAGACTTTCCCATGAGAGGGATCCAAAGGATCCCCAAACTGTAGGTCTGGCCCAAAAAGTGAAGCTCTACCTGAAAGGAGTTAGACCACTGATCACCCCAAATTGGAGATGAACTTGTCCTGGGTTCCTGGGACAGAAGGCATCATGACACTTAGGAGACTTAGCTGACTTGGTAGAAGGTGCAGACATTTGAAGAGGCTCAGATTCCCACTTTATCATTAACCAAAGGTGAGTGATTAGATGGGAGACCCTGTCGTTGGTCTCATTGTCAACCTCTTTAATGTTCTTTCCCCTATAATATAAAGGGTGCAATCATCTTTGTCTTAGGGTTCTTATAAAAATAGAATGAGATCTTAAGCTTAAAATATTTGCTATGTTGACTGAAACATCATCTTATCTAGACTAATAATGTTAATGATAACAAAAATAATAAAAACATTCTAAATATTCCCTACTGAGTGGCTTTTTCTGGCATTTTTCTAACTCCTTCAGTGTTAAGATTCAGAGCACAGCTGTCAAACACCCTAAGGTCTAGATTCTCGAGACAGATTTATTTTGTTTGTTCTTTATAACAGTAGTGACAAAGTTTTTTATTTTTTAATTGTCGTATTACTTGCCAGTATTTCAAAGATGGAGAAATGTTTAACAATTTGGCATCGCAATGTACATTTCTTGAAATGTTTTGAAAAATCAGGTAGGGCAAAAAGCAAGCCCTCATTTTCGTATGACAACCATCAGTTGCAGCTGAGCAGGAGCTGCCTGGGCTTGTACAAATCATGCTTCTCCCCTTTGCCACAGTCTCCAACACTCTCTGTTATGTCACTGTTGCTTTGCTACTTCATGTGCATCACTGTCTGTATCTGAGTCAGCACTGGGCTTGTACAAATCATGCTTCTCCCCTTTGCCACAGTCTCCAACACTCTCTGTTATGTCACTGTTGCTTTGCTACTTCATGTGCATCACTGTCTGTATCTGAGTCAGCACTGGGGGCTTCCATCTCTGGAGGTGACGGCTAACATACAACACCATACTGTGTTGTGGTTTGACGGGCAGTGACAACCAGGATTGTGTCTCAGACATAGAAGTGTTCACTAATGATTTGAGAGAAGCATATAAGAGGCTCCAGCAACCCACCTGGGTCACCTGCCAAGATCATGGTTAATTTTTTTTTTTAAATGATTTGCTTTTCCCACCTTCATGCTAAAAGGAAATGAGTTTGCCTTGAAGGTGCCTTCACCTTGGCCACAGGTGAGTAGACCAGAAGTCAACACCTGGTCCATGGCAAGCCAATCAGATTCTCTGTGTAATAGTTCTGCCCTGGGGGGAATAGTAAGAAGCTGAGGAGGGGGCTGACAGTGGCAGGGTGCAACTAGGCACAGGTGGGCTGGGAGCAGGTGGCAGGGGACAGAGCCAAAGGCCATGTGAGTTCTGGAGGAGCATGTGATAGCCAGGAGAACCAGAAGAAATCAGTCTGCCAAAAGAAATAGGGAAGCAGTCGAGACTTGTTGACGGGCAGAGGAAACCACTGTGTGACCTCCAAGACAGACAGACCTCGTGGCCCTCGGAGGTGGGCAGCCTGGTTGTTCAAGCCTCACTATCCTCCATCGATTATTGCTTGCCCATCTTTTTTTATTTCTAGGACATCCTCTTCTATTTTCCTCCTACTTCCTGGAGTATCTCTCTTACCTCCTTTTTTGATTTCTTCTACATTTGATTCCAAAATGTCAAACTCCACAATAGGTTTCCTTACCTTCCCTCATCATGCTGTTAGGTACCTACTCAGCTGTGAATGAGCAGAGAAAAGACAATCAAAGGTGACTGGAAGTCAGCAGGGCCTTATCTGACAGAGGCCCCTGGAAGATGAAGGCTTGGTATGTTAAAACCTCTCCCATTCTTAAATATTTTGAACCATCTTGTCATTTTCTCTTATAGTGAAGTCCCCAGGATACTCCCTTATCGCCAGAACTGTGTCACATCTCCCAATCACCTTGATAGTTGAAACATTAAGACCCCTGGGAAGAAAACATAATGGGGACAGGAAATTGAGGCTAAAACAGAGACTGAGTTTTCTTACAAACTCTGACTCTGAGCTCCACATCATCCTCTTTGGGTGGTGGTCCATGCAGCTGCTATGCTGTCAGCCAGAAGTCAGAAGGTGGCCTGTCATGGTGATGCACACCTGTAATCCCAGCAGCTCCAGAGGCCAAGGCAGGAGGATCACAAGTTTGCAGCCAGCCTCAGCAATTATCAAGGCCCTAAGCAACTTAGTGAGAACCTTTCTCAAGTTGAAAGGACTGGGGATGTAGCTCAGTGGTAAAGTGTCTCTGGATTCAATCCCCAGTACCATCTCCATCCCTCAAACAAAAAGTCAAAAGACGGACTTGTGCAGGGCTCTGGAAACTTCCCTGGGACTCCCAGTAAAACTGGAATGCAAGAGGGGCGTGCAGTTCCTCTCCTCTCTGAGAGGACCTTCCCTCTCCCTTGAGAGTGTCCCTTTCCTCTTTTCTCTCCCTTCTAATTCATGCCTGTAACTGTGTCTGAAATCTTTCTGGGTTGATCACAAGAATCAGAATGTGAAGGAAGGGAAGATCTTCACATTGACTCAGTTTCTCGGAGTCTCTCTGATCTGTAACCGCACTTCTTAGGTGATCCCAGTTTAATGCTAGTTAAATGCTGACAAAGGATTTTAATTATATATTCATTTCTTTAAGAAATGATTTCATTGCTTATTAGAAAGAATCAGTTATCTTGGGAAAACTTAATATGACCTGCTCACAGTGGTGCCTGATTGAAAGTAAGCCCTCAGTCAATGTGGGTGAAGTGCATGGGTGAATGAAGAAATTGCCTTTGTGACTCTGGAGTCACAAAGCCACCTAAGCCACCTCCCATGCTCTGACCCAAACCTGGCACACTGACCACCTTTATTTTTATATTAGTTGCTCAAGACAATACAATGATCTTGACATATCATACATTTAATTCAAATGGGGTATGAATTCTTGTTTTTCCACGTGTACAGACTGACCATCTTTTTAAGTTCTCTGATTTT